GCACTGGGTGTTATGCACAAACAATGAATCATGGAACACTACATCAAAAACTAATGATGTAATGTACAGTGATTAACATAATAATAAAAAAAGAGCTGGATGCTTAGCTCACTGAGCCACCCAGACACCCCAAAGATACAAATTTTAAAACTACCAAAAGTACTAGAAGAAAACTTAGAAGAACACCCTTGTGAACCTGAGTTAAGGTAGGGCTTCTTAAGTAAGAAACAAAAAGCAAAAACCATAAAGAAAAACAAATAATATATTTAATTATGTCAAAATGGCGAAGTATTATACCAAAAAATACTCTAAGCAAAATTAAAAAAGAAACCAAAAACTAGGTGAAAAATGTGTATATATACCTATGTATAAAGATCTATACAACATGTATAAAGAATTCCTACAGGGAAATGCCAAACTTGAAAGAGCAACAGTATGAAGGAAGGGAACTTGTATTATAAGAGGAGGTTCGGGGCAAAACGTTTATGGAGGCTTTAGGTTCACTTTATATTCATACTACAATAAAACCTGAAATTTTAAAAGGAAAATATGTTCATATTCTATAAGCATAATTAAAACCAATTTTAAAAACACATACAGAGGGGTGCCTGGGTGGCTCAGTTGGTTAAGCGACTGCCTTCGGCTCAGGTCATGATCCTGGAGTCCCTGGATCGAGTCCCGCATCGGGCTCCCTGCTCAGCAGAAAGTCTGCTTCTCCCTCTGACCCTCCCCCCTCTCATGTGCTCTCTCTCTCATTCTCTCTGTCTCAAATAAATAAATAAAATCTTTAAAAAAATAATAAAATTGTTAAAAAAAAAACACATACACAACTATCTACTTTCCACACTTCTCTCAAAAATAAGTCAACTAGATCTCCACGGCTTCTGAATATAGTACCAAAGAACTGGCTTAGGTCAAGTAAGAGGTATCAGCACATTAAAAAATATTTCCCAAAAATCCACTGTTACATAGAATTCTTAAAAGTGTTTCTTCACCAGGGCACATGGATAGCTCAGTCAGTTAAATGTCAGACTCTTGATTTCGGCTCTTGATTTCCGCTTGGGTCATGATATCAGAGTGGTGAGATTGAGCCCCCAAGTTGGCTCCACACTCAGTGGGGTGTCTGCTTGTTCCTCCCTCTCCCCTTTTGCCCCCCCAACTCGCATGCGCGCTTTCTCTCTCAAATAAAATTTTTTAAAAAGTGTTTCTTCACTGAACACTCTACCCAAGTAACTCACGTGGTCAAAAATAGGATTTTAAAGAATCCGTATACTTTAGTCGAACTCAAACAGGTTACTCTTCAGAAATAGGAATACACTGGCAGTCTCACCTTATCATTAGTAAAAATAGCCCCAAGGTAACAGCAAGCAGAACAGAAAATACATAGACCCTGAATCTTCAAGGTTCCATCTCAGAAAGAGCAATAGTATACCAAGTTCGGAAATTGCAATATTCTACTAGTAGTGTTAGGAAATTCCTCTCCAGGAATAACCTAGTTTAAGAAGTAAAAATTTCTTTTTATGATTTTTTTTAAGTAAGCTCTATGCCCAACGTGGGGCTTAAATTCACAGGCCCGAGATCAAGAGTCACGTGTTCTACTGCCTGGGCCAGCCAGGCACCCCTCCTTTTCACGATTAATCTGAACTGTGAGGTAGGTGACAAGTAATAACCTACATATTACTGTCTGAATGAATTCTATTTCAAGATCAAAGAGAGATGCAAAGCTTTTTCTTTTAATTAATCTGAATATTGTTTAAAATAAGAGAGCCATTCGTTATCCAGAATCCCTTAAATAATAACAAAAGCTAACACTGAATATTTACCATATGTCAGGCATTGTGTTAAAATTTTATAAGACCTAATTTAATATTTAAAAGCCTCCCATAACATAGGTACTGCCATTATCTCCATTTTAGAGATGACGCAGATAAGGCTTATAGGTGTTAAGTGACATCTAAAGTCACATAGCCATTAAGTGGTAGGGTCAAGAGTGGAATTAGGGCACCTAATTCCACAGCCCTGGAGGCTCTTAACTACTGTGCTTAATCACGATCATCTGCAGATAAGAACATCTCAACTGTTCATAGGATATTAAAGGCTTCCACAGTTTTAAGGCAGTGTAGTGTGTCCTGCTGATCTAGTACTCATTAAGGCAATTTTAGGCTTTCCAGGTATAAAGCTTAAATAATCACATTTCTCTTTCTATTAAGGAGAAAGTCTTTCTTCAAAGATGGTGGGCAAAGAACAAAGTAAGTGAAAGTAACAAAATAATGAGTAATAATTCAGAGTCTCAGGAATCATGCCATCAGAACATTAAACTGCCACATTCAAGAAAAAAATTCCCAACTGTGCTTTTGTGCAGAATTTTATTTTCGTGTAGTCAAGTAACTGAATCACACTGAATAGGCTAAGATCCAATAACAAAAACTCCCATCAAGTTTTCAACATTAGCAGGTGCACTCTAATGTTCAAGTCACTTTCAGATCCAAAATGGCACTTGCATGTGGAGTCTTTGCTATTATCAGAACCGTATTCATTTACACAACAAAAGGAAGAAATTTACTAGCTCTGAATTCCTCATACTGGCTTTTTAATCTCATGAGCTTCAGGGAAGATAGTGTTCAAAAAAATTTGTTTCTTTTAAAAAGATGCCAGACATACAATAAAAATAATAATTCTTGCACTTTAAACAACTGACAAAAAAGAATTAATTCTGACCA